TCCTCCTCCTCCTCCTCCTCCTCCTCAACCTCCTCCCCCATCGTATCCTCGTCCATGTCCTCCGTACTTCTTTGGCCGTCCCACACAATCTCCGCCTCGCTCACATTCGCTGGGACCGATGACCATTTTCCACGACCGGTCGAATTCCGCCTTGTTGTCCCCCCGTTCTCCCTCGCTCCGTCTATTTCGTTGCCCCTGGCCTCGACCTCCCCTTCTTCACTTCCACCGGGTCCATCTCTCTTCTGCCGACATCTAGTCGCAGTGGCGCCTCCACCAGACCTCTGTGCCCGTGGGCGCTTCCGTTTGCGTCTTGGCATGCCAATGCCTACACCCTGATGGTGGGTAGGCGAAACAAGGTCAATATTTGGCGGGCGGGCCATGACCGCAGGCAAAGACATGGAGGAGGGGAAACGGCGAGAGGGACTCCCGGCACGTACGAGGAAGAATCCTCACATGCAGCCAAATGTACTTTCAGGACAGCCATGTATCTGTTTGGAGATGGCTATGAGTTTGTAAAGCTTCACGACCCCATCGTTTACATTTTTATGCGTCTTCCCTCCGTCACATTTTACTATTCGCAGGATCGACCTTGTGTACGACGCATCCCACTCGGTAGTACCCCTTTTCCCGACGCAGACAGACCACCAGGAAGAAAATGCTTTCTCAGGCAAGATCCCGCACGGAGCTTGCTTTTATGGAAGCGGGCGTGGAGCAAGACGTCAGGGCGGATGGACGTCGGCGCGTCGATTATCGGGATATCAGCGTCACTGTCGATGTCGTACCCTCTAGCCACGGCTCTGCCAGAGTGATCCTAGGTCACGACGCCACGGAGGTTTTGGCTGTGGTGAAAGCCGATCTTTCGCAACCTTCATACGAACGAGCAAGGTGCGGCACGCTCGAGTTGAATGTGGAAGTGTCTCCTTTGGCTTTGCTTTATAAAGAGACAGGTCGGGAGGTGGAGGATTTAAATGCGGAGTTGACCACGGCATTTGAGTCCTTTCTCGTGGAGTCTGGGGCCTTAGACATGGAGGCATTGTGTATTACTCCTGGGAAGTACGCCTGGACCATATATCTCGACGTGATTGTGTTGGAGGGACAGGGCAATATCTTGGATGCGGTCTCTTTGGCGGCCTATGCCGCCTTGCGAACCGCAGCGTTGCCTGGTGTCGACGCCATTTCCGGTGGACTGGACTCGGCTAACAACCCCATCGAAGATTTCGAGCTGTCCTCCACCGACATCCTGGACGCGAAACCTTTGCCCGTGCAAAACCTGCCCATCTGCATCACCCTAAACCGTATCGGGAACTTCGTGGTGGTAGACACGGCGGCGGAGGAAGAGGCAGAAGGCGGGGTTCAAGCACGCTTGACTGTCGCAGTGGATGAGACAGGGCATATTTGCGGGTTGTACAAAGGGGCTGGGGGTGGTTTCCCGGTGGGGGAGATGCATACATTGGCCCAACATGCCGTGCCCATTGCCAAGAAGGTTTTGGAGGGGCTGAAAGCCGCCATCGGCTTGACGGACAAGAAAGAGAAAAAGGGTATCGAGAAAGGTTCCTCGAAGTTGCGTTGTGAAGCAGGCACTTGGAGAAGAGATGCGTGCGTCGGAGAATAAAATGGAAGGAAGCACCAAAGCACTGAATGCGGCAAACGCAGAGTCATGTGAACTACGTTGACCAATTTTTCATTTTCAAGAATTTGCTTTTATTATCATTGCGCCAATTACATGTGGTAAGGATGGGTAAGGGAATCCTAACCCTAATACTAACAGCTTTATTGGTGATATTGATGCATTGAAGAGGAGCAGGTTTCCTCGATGCTCTCCTTTTTGAATTTTTGTTGCGCGGAAAAGCTCCTGTCAGACATTCTACCAAGACAGACTCCACATCTGAAGTGTAAGGAAAAAAGAGGGCATCGTCCGAGAGTAGAGACTGTTTCCCTGATGGATAACTTACCTTGCCTGCTACGTTCTGCGAGAGGCAAGCGCTAAATTAGCTTAGTAAGGCAGGAATCACTACCTCTGTCTGATTAGATAGCTATATAGGTAACTATCAAGCTAACTCTGGCCATGATCGACTGGAATGCGAAGAAATCACTTTAAAAAAGCCCCACGGGGCTGGCACTTACTACGGGGGGGTACGCGAAGGACAGGTCAGCAGATCAAAGACACCTGTGTCAGCAATGTCCGTGTGCTTGCTCTGTCTATGCGCTGCATGCATTTAGACTATGAACTTCCCGCATAACACAATGTTTCGTGCAGGACATTGCTGAGGGATCTGATGCATTGTCCGTCGTTTGATAAAATTGGATCAAGACACACAGACTGCTCCAAACCCACTTTCACCTCCTGCCTCCCCTTCATCAGCCCACCCTCTTAGGTTGCAATGAGTATCTCGACAAATACGCCTTCAATCAGGCGCCAGCGTGGTATCGAGCGGATGCTTTTGGCAGTCCTGTCCCTTGGTACAGTGTTGGTGCAAGCCAAAGCTTTCTCCTTCCACGGCGGCGGAGGGGTAGGGTCCTGCGCTACCAAGGTAGGGAGCAGGTTTGTAGTCCCCACTCTCTTTTCTCCGGGCTGCATGAGTATGGCAAGGCCCGTCACTCCGCTGCTGGCAAGTCTGCGAGGCGGGGCGACAAATGGTGCGGAGGGCGGGCGCGATGTGGCTTCTTCCAGGGTACGCGTGCGGGAAGTACGTCGGAATGGGTATACGGCGGACGGGCGCCGACGTCTCTTGTCCATGCGAGAGCTCTTCGGCCACCAAGAGGGCAGTCCGGAGGGAAATGACTCCTCTGGAGGGCTTTTTTCGGCCGCGGGGTCCCAAAAACTCTTCTCGAGGGATGGGGCGTTACGTCTGGTGGGGTACGCGGCCGTCGCCTACATTGGCAAACAGGTGTTCAACGGCGGGCGGTACGACGAAAACCCGGATTTGGCGGGAAGGGTGGCGGTCATCACGGGTGGGAACACAGGAATTGGCAAAGAAACGGCCATCCGTCTGGCCAGTATGGGCGCCCGGGTCTTAATCGCTTGCCGCAATCCGGAGAAAGGAGAGACGGCGGTCCGAGACATCCTCGACGCCGTCTCCCCCCCATCCGCAACCGACGCGCCCGTCAGTGGGAGGAAAGCCATCAATTCTCCCCCGCAGGTGGAGAGTCTCGTGTTGGACCTGGCGGATTTAAAGAGCATCGACCGTTTCGCGACGGAGTTGGGCAAACGGGTGGATCGGGTGGACATGCTCATCAACAACGCCGGGGTCATGGCGGTTAGCCGCCTGGAGAGAACCAAGGACGGCTTCGAACGTCACTTGGGCGTGAACCATCTCGGACATTTCCACCTGACCAACCGTCTCTTCGACCTGTTGCTCAAGGGCGGATCCACCCGGGAGGGAGTCCGCATCGTGAACGTGGCGAGTGAAGCCCACCGGTTTGGGGGCCTCGATCCTCAAGACCCCAATTATCTCCGGCGCGAGTACAAGAAATGGGAGGCGTACGGACAGAGCAAACTTGCCAACATTTTATTCACCCGGGAATTGCACCGACGATTGGCAGAGAAAGGGCTGGACAAACGGATTTTGGCCGTCTGTTGCCACCCCGGCGTGGTCCGCACAGAACTGGGTCGGTATTTGATCGACGATATCCCCAGCGTAGGGAAAGTGGCCTTGGCACCCTTGGCCTTGGCAGGCTGGTATTTTACCAAGAGTCCTAAGCAAGGGTG